CAGCAGGACATAAAATATTAATTGCTCATTCTGCTTTCCCTTCATTTGTTAAATGCATTCATTACTGTTACAAAGAGGTTTAAAATAAATGGTAATAAACAAAGCAAAAAAGCAGGAGGGAAGTCATCCTGAAAGATCAGAAATGACACTGCTAACTAGAACCTACTTCCAATAAATTTCATATGGGTGGGACTCCTCAGAGATGGAAAACGTAACAAAACTTTTACCAAGCCTCAACATAAATCCAAATTTTGCTTCTTCACAATTATTGCTACTTGCTTGTATTCTGAGGTGTCTTTACAGTGTCACACTGAGCCAAGAGTTTCCACTGTGCCTCTGTGGTAGGCACTGTATAGGCATGACACCCAGGGAAACACTCCTCACCCAGGCAGGAAACTATGCAACAGACTGTGGGATGCCTGGTAAAAAAAGACAGACAAAATGGGGGACCGCGCTGTGACAATGAAGGAGTTCACTGCTGCCTAGCAGAAGAGTCAGAGTCAAAACTACATCTCCACTTCCCCCAAAAAGTTTAACTGGACTCCTGGACCTAAAACTTCCACCTTTGTTCCCTTCCCATTTGCAGCTTTCAGAGATTCTTCCAGTACTGATCCAAATATATCTTAGTTCAGGTCACCTTTCTGGGCTTGATTTCAGCGATGAAGTACGGTTTGGCAGTGGCAAAGTGGCAGACCTCTTAACGACCTTCTCTGAATCAATATTGTCCGCCTCACTCTTGGAGCGGGGAACTGAAAGCTGGGTTCTGCCTGTAGGATAAGTCAAATATAGGAATATTGGTGAATGGGATAGGAGGCAAATAAATACATGCTTTACATGCCCTGTCTGTTTGATAGATTACGCAAGAAATGTGAATTACTTACTGTCCTCAGAATAAGAATAACGAGGAGAGTATGAATCAGAATCTTCATCTGAAAGACAAAAGCATTTTGCAAGTGAGCTGAAAAAGCCCCAGAGAAGCAGTGCCAGAGATCCTTTTCATTTCTTCTACTAATACATTGGCCATAATTTGAGTGATATGCCCAATACTTACTACAGAGAGAGGATCCTAAAAAAGAAAATCCCAATGAGGTTTAAATTGCATTTAAATATAATTCCTAGATTGGATATAAATATTAATGTACTACTTACACTAATACGCTTCTCCAGGCTCTCAAAACACTTTAGAAAACAATCACTTTTTAATCATAAAACTCCTCTACAGCAAGGGTTATTAGATCCACTTTATCAAAAGCTTAAAGATAAATAGAGGATCTAAAAGCTGTAGTATATGCCTAAAATAACTCATTAGGTGCTAGACACAGTAATAGAGCTGAGGAGTCCTGCTCCCAGTCACACGTGATAATCGCTGGGACATCTTCCTTGTATTAACTTGCACACCGAGTTGAAGTATGTTCACTGACTCAGATTATCTTTTAAGTGCAGATAACGTTCCTGGCATGAGACACACATGTATACTTGCACCAAGGGACTGTCCTTGTTCTGAAGAGCCTACTTTTTAAATAGGAACGACACATCTATAGAATACAATAGAGATATTCAAGCAGCTCTAAAAGAGCTAGCAATGACATCAGTGTAACTGAGTGGTGTGGTCTGGCCCCTAAGCTGAACAACCTTCTCTCTTTGACAGTGAAAGCACTACGCTGCATCAACACAGCAATGTCGTTCCCAGGACACAACTGCTGCCTTGGGCTGCGGAACCACATACTGCCTTATTCAAAGATAACATGGTACTGTAGCGCACAAGGCAGATGTGCCCAAAAAGAAGGTGGGAGGATGGCAACATTACCACCCCCCACTCTACAGGTGATGGCCAGAGAGACTTTAACTTGATCAAAAACCTAGCGGTATCTTTCCACCATCTTCAACAGGCTTTGGAATGAATCCTCAATGAATTGCAGGTAGTAGCAGGGGGAGTTGGGATCAGAGCTGGAAACTGGACCCACAGGCCCATCACCTTTCTCTGTTGATGAGGGTTCAAACTTGCAGGGATGTGCATATGAGACATCTACAGGACTTCCAAGGCAAAATGCAGGAAAGTACAAAGCAATGACTGCAAAGAGAACTGTGAGCAAAGGTATTACTAACACCTCTGTGAAGAAACCACTAAAAGTGACAGAGATAAAAAGACAGAAAAACAAAATAGATGAAGCTAGAATAAGCTAGATAAGAAAAGAACATACTAAAAAATTGTTACGTGAATTTAGCAATGCCAATCAACAAATTGAAACAATTTCCAGATCTTGTCTCAAGGAGGACATCAATCAGCCGCTACAGCCAATCTCATCTGCTGGAAAAACCAGTCTGGCTAACACAGTTGACCTGAAATTGCACTCAAGCCTTAAGCAAGCCTTTCAGGAAGGCTCAAAGAAGTCTTAACTTTTAGCCTCTCTGCTGAGTTCTCTTGGTGAATGAATTAGAAGGTTTAAGTTCCAAACAGATGGTTATTGACTCTGGTGTGCTTATCATAACCTTCAGGTTAAAAAATAGTGAAGGTTAATTTTCAGGCCAATTCCCATATTTTAAACCTAAATGACAGAAAACAAATATTTATTTAATGTTATTACACTGAATTGTTGACAAAATTGACTGGTACTCCTATATAAAAGTTGAGTTTATTCAGATAACAAAATACTTCGTAAATCACAAAACTCTCGGTCCCTACAAATACAGATGAACAAATGTCTAAAACTATCTTCACAGCCATTCACCTCTCATAGTCTTATTTAGTGCTGGTGATCAATGAAAAAACTGATGTACTTACTTGAAGAGAAATATCAGTAATCATTATAGCTCATCATTCAGATAGGAAAACCATACAATAAAAAATTCATTTCAGATAAGTGCTATTTTCCAATTGCTATATTCTAATATCTACAATAATAAGGAGAACAGGTATGTTTTGTCTCTTATTCTTATGAAAAAGAGTGTCTACATTTCTTCCCTTTTCACAGCAAGGAATACTGAAACACAGAAATCTGGAATGACTTCATAAAGATTAAAGTGTAAATCAGAAATGAGCATTAAAACAAGATCTCTTGGCTCTCAGAGCTGCATTCTATCTGTGGGACCCTCCTTAATGGAGCAGGGTATCACCAGTTTGTAGTTTGAAAATCTGATTCCTTTAGCGAGAAGAGGCTGTTCCCCTGTAGTTCCTAGAGAATCTGCAAGTTTGGGTTTGGTTTTTTTTTCATGGATTGGCCATATTCTCTATGTTTCTAGAGTCTCTAAAGGTATTTTAGAGGGGAGCCCAAATCTTGATGTTTCTAAGAGATCCTATGCATCAATCCAAAGCAAAAAGCTCTGACACTGATTGTATGAAATTGAGGCTTCAATTCATCTCTGTATAAACACTTTGCCACCAAGTATGTAGCTTTGAAATGTTTTCTAAACATGAAACGTGCACTCCAACCCACCTACATCATCAGATGTTCCAGATTCCTTATGAAGGAAAGAATCCAGGCAAATATTAGAGAAACATTTCCCAACATATTGAGATTTTATTTTCAGCAAGTGTTGCGTCCAAAAAAACCTTTAACTATCTAAACCAGCAAATTACTTTCATAACGCACATTCCTAAGTGCATAGGGGACATTTACAGGAAACCAGACTCTTAATATATTGTCATCATTGGTTTTGCAAACTGTGTTAGTTCAGACAAGAGCAAAATGCATTTTCAAACTTCATTACAAACACGAAAATTGAGTTTCCATAAAACTTCTTTATCAATTAGTTACTGGGACTCTTTGTTTCTCTCTCATCCATACCCACATACCATTCTGCCAATAGAAAATAATTTACACTGCATTATGATTTCCACGACAGGACTCTTCACCTATAGGTTTCACCAAGAAATGAGCAAGTATCTTAGATACCTGTATGACACTAGTCCACATTCATTTTAACAGTGAAATGCACCTTACATCTCCTAGTCGTCTTTGAGCATCTCAGCTAGAACGCATATTGTATGTTTTCTTCTTACACAGTACTCACCAGATGTCTAATATAAACATTGAATGAAATGGTTAATTAACAGTCTCACCAGGGTTGCCTTGAGGCACAGGCTAAGTAGGCAAGTTCCTAAATTGCAGGATCTAAAGTGACACCAAAGCACCAAGTCAACAAGGCTGTCACCAACAACAATTTCCCAATCAGGAAATGTCTGTCTGTCTGTCCAATGTGTGCAGCGGATTGCAGTGTTTCTCATATATGTTTTCATGCATATGCACACAGTTACACAATTATCACTGCAATAGATGCTATTTCACCATCCCTGAGACATGACTGCAAAGGATTCTGGTTTGTACATGAAGTTTAAAGGAATCTGCTGAGCACATGAAGAGGATAAGACAGCATTATTTCAAGTCGTAAGATGTGCTGATGAGACTGTCAAACTCTGCCCTTGCCTAGATATGCCAAGTGCACCTAAGGCCAGCCCTGAACCTATGTTACCAAGTTATATTTATTTTAGAAGACTACATTGAGGGACTGATCCAAAACCCACTGAAGCAAGCAGTCTTTTTACCAATAGGCTTCAGTGGCATTTTGGGTCTGGCCCTAATACTGTGTTAATATTCAAAATCAGAAGTAAATAATTAAAGAAATGTATTGATCCGAAAGGGGCGGGGAGGAGAAATCTCAGTTAAACCACATCTTTACATGTAAGTCAGCATTCTAGGCATGTTAAATAATCACTGCACGCACATGGCTCAATATAACTGATAAGCGCATAAAACCAAGCAAACCCCAAGTCTGTAGCATTAGTCAAATACTAGTTACAAAGCCAGAGGAGCACTGCAAAGCCAAAAAGGCATCATACAGTCAAGGCAACGCTTAGAGTGCAGCAAATTATTATGAGGCAGCATAATGCTCAGCAACTAGAAAAAACTCCAGGAAGAAAATAAATGGATAAGGCAGCATTTGTGCAGAAAAATATATATGGTCCTTTATTATTACCTTCAGAGATAGGACTAGGAGTAGACGCAGGAAACTGGTATGTAGGAGAATAAGGATTGTCTTCTGCAGCAGAGAAAAGCAGTGGATTTTGAGACTATCCACAGTGAAGTGGAGGTACTGCTTCATCCCCCAATTTCATATCACCGTATGATTTTATTGCATATTTTAATAATAATAGAGTAAATGGCATCATACTTTAAAAAAAGATTAATGGATTAGCAAAAATTTAGTTATTTTATGCATCACACAAGAAGGTATACTGGGTGTAACTGAATTTCCAGCCAGCGTAACACATGGGTAACGGAAATCTAGAACCTGAATCTAGTTACTATTAGGGTGCTATAGTACAGTTAACTCAAAGCACAAGACAACAGATACTCTGACTAAACTTCTGGTACCTTCAGTTTTTTGCTGGATTTCAGGAAGTTCAGGAAATATGTAGGTAGGGCAATAAGGGTTTTCTTCAGGAGTGTCTAAGGAGAGGAACACGATTTGCAAAAAAGAACAGAGAGGACAGATTTAAAGGGGAAGAAGGGAGAGACAAGAATCCATACAAGCTGACCGCAGAACAGTCCCTCTCATGCTGATGTTCTAGCATGACACAACCTAGATGCCTCTCTGCTCATTACTGCCTTGCATGTCTGGGCCCTGCGAGAGATCCTGGAAGCCAAGGAGACTGAACTCATTCTCCTCCTTCTGAAGCACAGGCTCTGGCTGAGCTGAAGAACCTCTGTTAGGAGCACTGGGATTAGGAAACAGTTCAACTCTTTCTCATTCCATCCAATACAACACAGCATCTATCTATGCATAAAGCTCATCATGAAAGCACCTGCAGCGGCAAATACAGCTCCAGTTTTGCATGCTCTATGTTTTATTATATAAGCGCAGTTCTGAATTGCATTTGCCTGCACATCAGGCTGTTCAGAGGGTTCAGTTTGCAAATGCTACTGCAGCCATTTCTCACACGAAGAAAAAACATGAATGTATCAGCAGCCAGGCACAGACATGCCCCGAAGTAGGGGATCCCTTGAAAGTGCACCACTACCAAGTTTGCAAGTGCTCACCACAATTTTAGGTTTTGAAAGGAGAAAATTTAAGGTTTTGAAAAAGCAGGGTTCAGATTCTGAACTCACCAAAAATCAATGGAAACCTTTTCATTGGTTTCAGTGAGCTTCAAATCAAGCTTTGTTATGCAGGTACTAAAGCTTTACAGTGTAAAAAGTTTTCTCTTATACACAGAGCAGTTTCAATGATAACCTACTGTCCTTTAAAACTGTGTGGGGTGGGGTTAGCTGCTAAAACTGGAGTTCAGGGATCTATTTTCTCTAAGTATGGAATTATTAGCAGCTTTCTGATCTCAAATAGTACTCTTGATTTCATAAGGGCACTGCAGTTCACCTTTCAGAACAACTCAGACCTTTCTTTGGACTTCACTGTTCTCTCACCTTTGACTTCAGAGATTTCAAATACATTGGTTGAGTTCTGTGGTGCAGAACAAACACTAGTTAACATAAAACACTTCCATTTAACATCCAGTATAATTCTTCACATGAATGAAACAAAATGTTATTGAGGTGGTCTTTTAAAGTAAATAAAAACCATCTGTGTTACAGTACCTCTATTTAGCTTGTGGATCTGTTTGAACATCGTCTTGTACCAGTCCTTTGATCTGTCTGTGTTCTATTGGAAAAATAAATATACACATAAATAATCACAACCATGAATTCTACCAGCCTTTCAAAGTTCTTACAAATCTTTCAGCAACGAAAAACATTTACACTCTGCTATATGAAGGCTATATGAAATGAATACTTTGAAATATAAGTGATTTCACTCAGATATATAATCTCATATGTAATGAAGCTACAGGTTTCACTCAAATTACTAATAATGCATAAGATTTGCAGGGCTAGATTGTAACCTGTGTAGAACTGTAGATTGTGTGGAAGGTTTTGCATATTAATCTGATTTGACATCTAAAAGTAGGCATCTTGCCTATTTTAGTCATATGTACCAATTTCCTAAGTATTCAATGAATAGTTAGAAACGTTTAGTGTCACTCCAGACACTAGTTGTAACAATAGGTTAATAATTCTTTTAATGATAATTTTCCCTGAACACTGAATGAACTTAAACATGTTGTATAAAAGAGATATCTGCCTTTAAGATGGCTAAAATGAGACAAAACTCTCCCTTAGCTGCTAGCTGTGAATAACAGAGAAGAGCAGAAAACAATATTCTCAAATATTATGAAAAGAGATATTAATTTTTAATTTTTTCCCCCCTGAGGCAGCTGAAACAGGTCATTGACAGCAAATGGAAGTGTTCATAATAAAATACATTGGAACTAGAATTCTATCTTCCCTTAAATCTCTGCAGTCTCTGGAGCTTTAGTGAATTCCCCGAGTGCTCAGGTAGGCAGAACCTGGCCCAGATATTGTGCATCGACCACATGCTCAGTGTTGTCTTACCCTCAGTGGAATGCCAATATCATCGACAGAAGTATCAGCCATGTGCTGAGGGCTCTTGACAATGCTTCTCTTCTCCATTGCCTTCTTCTCACTTGGTACTGTCTCCTGAACCGGCTTGTCCCGTACGAGTGCTGAATCAACTTTATCAGAAACTAGTCTGTCTGGCACTGAATCTGGAAATGACAATGGGGGATTCTTACCTCATCCCAGCATTTCACCACATCACCATATTCCACTCTTTTAAGGCAAAAATTCTAGCAAGTAGTTGATGAGACAGACTGTGTCACTGCTAGCTGTGGTTAGCATCTGGACTGAAGGAAATCGACCAAGGAAATGTTTGATGCCAGCAAGAGCAGGCTAGCATCCCTCAGGTAGCTACCTTCACACATCTCATGACAGTCTCAGCTCTCACATAAGACAATGAAAAATTTTGGTTTCAAGGACTGTTTGGCAGTTGGTTTTTTGTGTCTTTTTGACTAATTAGCAACTCTGCAATCTCATTCTTCATCAAAAAGCATCAGTGATACAGTCTCCTAGACATCTTTTTCTGCTGGTGATTTCAATCTAATGGAGCATCCTATGTGGTAGTGGAACACTACTTTTAACAGCTTGCACTCACCTGCCTGACAATCCCATTCATTACAGTCAGCATATGATGCTTCCAATTCATCTTTGTGCACTAACCAGAATTTGTAAACAACAAATTCCACTGTTCTTTAAGCATACGCATGATTCCTCTTGATCATGAGTCTGCAATGATGGGGGGAGACAACTAATTGTTCCAGATCGCCTTGCTTCCACCTGGAATTCCTTGATGCTGCCTGCCTGACGCCCACATGTAGCAGCAGGCACCACCACCACCACTGGCCAAGGAACCAAGGGAGCTCAGGTTGCTCTGAAGCTCTACTGTGCTCTGGAGAGCTGCAGCACAGCAACCCTTAGGCTCTGCTGAGGACTTTTTTGTGTGGATTTTCTGGAGAGGAAATACCTGTGATTTTACAGTCTGCCTCATCAAGACTTTGCCAAGTCCTATCTTTTTTACATCACTGCATGCATTGAAGAGAGAGAGAGAGAGAGAGAGAGAGAGAGAGAGAGAGATGTTTATTCACATGCACATCACCATACTGCCCAAAGCCATTAAATGTGCAGAAATCTGAAGGGGGCAGTTAGAAGAGGAAAGGCTCATGCATAACAAAGCATCGGTCTGTTGGTACCTTGAGCAAACACAATTCTGTCCTGCGAAACTCAGTATGTGAAGGATTTGTGTTTGAGTGGTTGGTTTGAAATTACCATCAAACTTTAAGCCTTCCTCCTCTTTAAGAAAAATTGAAATAATGTTTATAAATGTCCAAAATGGGGCAAAGCATCTATTAAATCCTTGTTTAGCATTTTCATCCTATTTCCTTTCCCTATGAACATGTGTGCATTGTCTTTTGGTCCTTTCGTGTTCCTGGTGTACAGGGCTCTCCATTTTGTAGGAAGTATTTGGTCCATTTCCACTACTAAACTACTAAGCCTCTAGGAACAGAGCATGGAAAGAGCAACTGAAAGTAGACCATTCTTCCATGACCTTGAAGACCAAAAGAAAGTGAGTTTTTGGATGTGGATGAGGATGTGGAGAAGATGCAAACTTTAGGAAAGGTCACAGCTTTCCTTCATTACTTATCGTTGGCACTGCTGATGTTACAAGTCTTGAGCTTCTGGTCTAGAAAAGTCATTATTTTCTGCAGACTAAAGAATTCAATGCCAGAGAAGGTCACAAAGTCCTTCTCTAACAGGACTGGCAAATATATATTTTTTCTCTTTGATTCCCTAGCTCCCTGCACTGGAAAAGTGGTTGGCTGTTTGCCAGGCAGACTCCAGCTGAAATGATGACGATAATATTCAAAATACCTAATATAGATGTAAACAACAGGGTAAATGTATCACAATCTGATTTCCCAGTGCCACAGCCACGATCTAAGGAAAATCTTTATTTTGATGATTTAGCAAAAATAAACCCCACCATCTGGCCTGTGCCAGCCATGTCCCAGTCATGAATTCACATCTTTAATACCATAACGTGAAGGCTGGGAGCTATCTAGCGTGGCATAGCTAGGGGGAAAATCTACCAGCCAGTTAAATGTATTTTGAAGGAGTTCTCAAAAATATTTTTTGGAGTGCACATAGAACTGGTTCAAGGTGCTGGACTGACAGCCCTGGAGACAGGAAAGGCCTGTCTGACAGCATGAGTTGTATTAGGGCAAGCCCTCCCTCCCTGTGCACCCTGCCAGGTAAGTCCTGCCTAGGTCCATAGGACTCAACCAAGAGGTCCAGCTTAGCTGCTGGTCCAGTTTGGCTGCTCAGCTGATACTGCAAACACAGACACCTGCTGCACAGGTGTCTTTGCAGAGGGAGGAACTAAAGCAGACATCTTTCACCACAGATTTCCTACAATACCCTACAACTTGGAGAATGACAGCTAAACTTCACACTGACTTATTTGCCATGCAGCTCCAATGATTTCAAAAGAGTTTATGGCGGTATATATCAGGCTTTGAGGTATTTAAAAAATCAGAGAGCCAAATTTGGTGCCTAAACACCCAAATAACTAGATTGCACCAGTCAGCACACTCCATGGCACCTAACCCATCCTTTTTCAAGAGCAGCAGCAATATATAGGGTTGCACAGCAAGAAAGTTTTTCTGCTGTGACCAACAGGACATAAAAAGCAGAGGGAGAGGTGGCAGCCAGCAGCTTTGTCTGGTTGTTTTGGTACACTGAGAGCAGGTGCAGACCCAGCTGTGCCACAACACGCTTCACCCTCCCAGACTGAGGATCATTCAGGCTGTAACAAACTGCTCTGTGGCTATCTCTAGTTTAGAAAACAAATAAGTTCCTGATAACGAAAGGAAACACCTTGCAAGAGGGAAAACCAACAGGAAACCTCTGTCCCGATTTGCAGGCAAGTGTTAAACTCGCAGCTGAGTGGTGTCCGATCAGACAACACCTACACTAAGGGAAGGAACTGAGAGAAACCGGTGTAAGCTGTTATGCAGCCTGTCACCTCAGCAGGGTGGCAGCAGCGAGGAGGGACAGGCTGGTGTTGCAGCCGAAGGAACCTGGTGGATGAAGTCGGACCAGGTCAGCAGGTGCCTCATGGGCAGACACTGTCCTTATGGGACACGCTCCGCTAGTCCAGGGCCCATGCAGCAGAACAAGAGCATGCAGTATTGGCTTCCCTGTGTTTCTATTTGTGATATTTAAAGTGCTTAGGCACTGTCTATGACTCTCTTCTCTCCCACCTCTTCATTTACTCTGCCATGGCCATAACCAAAGAATAATAATATGGGCAAGTGGTACATAATGCAGCGTTCCTACAATGCCCACTGCAGACTGAGCTACTTCTGTTTGGGGTGTGGGGAGGGAAAGATGAGCAGGAAAACAACTTGCTCTTCTTTCAAGGAGAGAATCTCACACCCACTGCAAGAGCAGAGAGCTGCCCAGGGAGAGGAGGGTGACAGCACACATGCATACCTGCACGCTACAATTTTATCATCTATTTCTTGACATCTGGCACAAATACTTCTGCCCTTGGAGTCATGTAAATACTTATTTTTATTTCTCTTCCTCTCCCCTCACCACAAGCAAAACTAACAACAATGGCTGTGTAGAGAAACTTGAAAATGTGCCCTAAGGGTATAAACCTAAACACTCAAAAGGCAGCCCCAAAAGTCAGCTAGAACAATCAAACTGTATGAAAATCTTATGACTTAGGAGGAACAGACGAGTAATTTAGGGTTTTGGTATATTAACATGTGGCTACACAGGTAGCATTTGGAGAAAAGACTGAAATCGAACATTCAGTGACATGGGCTAAGCCAGGACAAATATTTATACTAATTCCTTTGCAGTTCTTGGGAAGTGTGTTTGCTAAAGGTACTCCACAAGCTAACACAGCAGCAGCTTTGCTCCAGCAGAGGCAGCAGCTGGGGGGTAGCAGACCTCTCACATCATACCTGCCAGGCTACTAAGCCTTTTTTGCTGTTCTGTGGTAAAGGAAGAAACAAAACAAAAAGAAATACAGAACAAATGGGTGAGATAAACAGCAAGTGCTCTGGTGCTGCATTTCTGACAGGCAAGAAATACGCTGTAGACAGAATGGCAGCAGCTGCTGGAGAGAATCTGTTTTCAAACACCCTGCCAAAGTGACAGCCCACAGTCCCTTCTCCACACAGCAGCCTCGTGGAATAATATAAATCTCATGATGCAGCGACCAATACATTTGCAAAGAGCACTTTTTTTTTTCCTTAATATCAGAGAATGAAAAAAGTTGGACAGGAGACAATTCGAAAAACATAAGGACTCAGAGTCAAACAACTTGACAACTAACTCTGTTACCATTAGCATGAAGTACATTTTGAAACAATAATGCCGTAGTATTTCGAAGGGATATAGGAAAGGATCGAGTTGCTGTTGGTGCTTGCTGAGTCTCATCACATACTACCGAGCCACAGATTCAGTGATTTGCGCACAGACACAGCTTGGTTAAGGCTTTGATTCTCAGAATGGTCCCCTTGGTTTAGGGTCTTTCATACTGAGTTCCCAGACTAGGACATTTGTGGTATCTTCCAGCATGTTTGACCACCCTGAAGTTGATGCTCACAGCTGCTTTCTAAAGGGATGCCCAAATGACTTGCCCAAGTCAGGGCTGGGAATAAACCAAGAATTCTTAGTGCTCTGTTCTCTGCTCTTTCTACTCCCTAGCAATTAATCCTTTCATTTAAAGCATGGAAGCCATTTGAAAAGAATAAACTATTTTACTGACATACAAAATACAAACACTCTTGAAAGTTCATATTGTTAATACAAAGATTTCAAAACTTTAATATATTAATCACACCTGTTATATATTCATAATAAACCATGCCATGCAATGCCTGCGCAGGAAATAACTGTGCTTTGGGGTGGCGTGGGACACTTGCCAAGCAAGTCTGCAGTAGTTAACAACCCTCCAGGTGTACACTGTTTGCTAGCAGAACCCGTCTTCACTGGATATTTGTACTAAGTGGATCATCTCAGCAAGGGAGACCAATATTTCTCCTCACTAAGTGCAGCTCCCTCACTAATACCTATGAACTTTGTTCTTTAACCCCAACACTTCTGCTCTGCTAACCACCGATGGCAAGCTGCTGGTGTGCATTATGCTCACATGAGAGCTGCCAACATATGAACCAAACCCCTACGTGCAATGGGTAAAAGGAAGGGTTAGCAATCTGAACTTGAAAAGTAGATGGGAACCACCTGCTGCAGGGTTCACTCTTCTAAGCAGGCCATCGGGGTAGGCTGCTGTATTATGAGGAAGGAGAAAAGATGCAAGTGAGGATGATCTCAGCTTCAGCCACCACCTTCGCTAAGGAGAATTGTGTTCAGTCACTACAGTCTCCTGACAAAAACATGTGGTTTAGAGAGTCGATGCTTGAAGGCTCTTTCCTATCTCTTCTTCCACAGGGAAGAGAATATCATGGATGAATAGACTTTTCATGAAAAAAAAAAAAAAAAAAAATTTTTACATGAAGGGGGGGGTTTCTTTTCACTTTTTTTCCTTGGCTGACAAAAACATGTGGTTTAGAGAGTCGATGCTTGAAGGCTCTTTCCTATCTCTTCTTCCACAGGGAAGAGAATATCATGGATGAATAGACTTTTCATGAAAAAAAAAAAAAAAAGTACTTTTTACATGAAGAGGAGGTTTCCTTTTCACTTATGTCTCTGAGTAGGAAGGAGAGCTGCTGATGGATAGAAGCAGGAGTAGGAGTCTGCTATTTCACTCTCCTACCTGACCAGAGCCAGCTTGTAGCCCCAGGCACATACCAGCTAACTGAGGCTTTCACCCTTGATCTTGTGTTTTGGGACTGTAAGCAAAGGCCAAAAACTTGTAGGCTTCCCACTGAAAGGGTCAAGCAGAGCAATATAACTGCTGGCAACAGTGAAGAAATGATTATAGATGCCTTCGAAGTTCCCCAAGGGGGGAGCACTGGAGGAGATTAGCACTTGAAACCAGTAACAGAAGGGGAAGAGGAAACAAGTATTCGAGTACATGCACATTTAGTGCAAAATAAAGGTGTCAAAAAGAAAATTAATCAAGACACCAACAGATACGAAGGGAACAAATTCTTACCTTGGTGCTAGGAATGAACAAGAGGATCTGAAATTGCTTGTTTATAAGCATAAATCTTATTCAGTTGGTATTACTGAAATCCAGTAGAAAAAATTCTGAGATGTCTCATCACAACTTACTGAGTAAGATCGAGCAGACAAAAAAAGGATATAGTGTAGTTCCTGTGCTTCAAATGCTGTTACTTTTTTCTAAGTCTCTGATAGCTCCAAATCAAAGGGTCTTACATGCTTACAGATTAATGAACTAGCAGATAAAGCATAAAATAGGACAGTAGGTGATGTCTGCTACAACAGTCACTCCAGAAAATAAGATAACCAGCTTCTTAAAAAGCACTCAATAATCCACTGAGGAGAAAGCAAGCCACATTATCCATCTGGAAGACTAGCTAAACTACTGGCGATCTCAGACTGCCAGCATTAAAATGACCTGGAAATTTCTAATTCAGAGGGTATTTCATAGCACACAAGAGGAATTTATATTAAACCTCATCTTGACATGACGGAATTGATTTCAGCACAAAACATAATTAACCATTCAGGGGAAGGTGGATCATAACCTAGTAACAATTTGTTATATGCCATGAGACCAAACCAGTTTTGAATAGATAAGGTCCATAAAGATGAAACCAAATATGAATCATGTCAGCCAGACAGAAACATAATAGATAACTAAGATCCGAGAACCATTTAAAAACACTAAGTTAGCACAAAGAAATCTTAATGCTATGCTGGGATAAAACCTAGATAGGAATGGAAGCATAAGGAACTGTAAGAAGCCCTCAACACATAAAAGGATGGAAAACTAAGAAAATGTATACCTATGAGTAGGTAACATATGCTGGGATGTGAAAGAAAATGACAATGGAAGTAAAAGAATTAACAGAATGTCTCAGAGACTCAAAAATAGGTTTTGAGGTACGTGAAGAATAAACAGAAACCTAGCAATAATCTTGTTCTTTTACCAAATAAGCACAGTGGAACTGTTAATAAGAGGGAAGAAAAGATGACACATCCAATTACTATTTCCATTCTGCATTTGAAAGAAGAAAAAAAAAAAAAGAGAAAAAAGTCTGACATCCTGCCACCTGATGGAGAAATACTTTCTACTTCAACAGTAACTAAGGACTATGCTGAATGACAACAACTGAGGTCAGATGCTTGAAAATTAGCACATTCATATAAACTGTACTGAAGAGTTTTACAGCAGTTTTCTGCTCTTAAGAGAGCAGTTATGGAGAGAGCAGCTCATTGGACCATTAACATTCATCCTCAGTATGTCTTGGAATACAAAGGAAACTCCACAGGACAAAGAAGAAAGCAAATGTTGTGACAGCCTTCGAAAAGCATTAGTGTGATGGCTGGGACATGTGTCTGTCAAGTTGACAATAATGCCAGAAAAAATATTGTAATGACTTATATGGGATTTTACTAATAAATACATAGTACAACACATGCGATACAGATTGATAACTAAGATGCCTTGTTAAACCAGTTCAATATGATTCTTGCAAATTACAAGTTTGACTAATAAAGACTGAAAAACACACATTAGAATGAGATACTTCACAGACTTGATCAAGTTGCTTATCAGGCCGCATATCACAGTCAATAAAAATGTGATGAGAGAAGGCTCTTCAGTCTATCAGGAACGGTATCACGAGTGCTAATGGTCAGAGACAAGACATATTCGGCAGGACAAATTGTTAACTGTGCAGGTAATTAGTAAACAGAACAATTTGACATCAGTTGTCTCAGAGCCAGTGTGTGTGGATCGTCATATTATACAGATCTGTGTCTCTTAAAATCTACGGATAGAAAATATCCTTGTGTGGTACACACTGAAATGCTCCAAATTTAATGCAAAAACAACCAAAAGGAGTATCCCACCTCAAGAAACTCAACAAAAAGCTTTGAGATAAAAAAGGATGCCTCAAATAATATTTTCTCCTCTTCAAGCAGTTGAAGAATCCATACACCCTCATTCAGAAGCACAGAAGCAAAGTTGCTTCAGATGCTGGCAAAAAGGAAGAGATAACCCACTTGTTACCCCTATAATCATCTGGGCTACGGTGAGGACACTATCTTCAGGATCAAAGACTGAAGTCTGTTTTAAAAAGGCACCGAAAAAAAATACATGAGGGGCTGCAAAGGAGCACATCAATGCACGCCTGTAATTAGAGTGACTACAATATAAGGAGTGCAGGCCTTGCCCCTGTTTTCTGATTTTATTTATTTTTCTTTGCAAAAGGCAAGTCGTAGCATTGTAGATTAGAATCTGCCTGTCCTGGAGTTTCCTTAGTCCACTGGAAACCAAGGCAAATTGGACGGCATCTGTGTGGCCCTTTATAAGCTACAGTCTTTAGTGATGCACAATGAACTGGGAGGCTGGGGTAACGCCAGCCACCAGGAGAACTAAAAAGGAGAAGCAAAGTTTCCCTCTAATGCCAGCGGTAAAGAGATGCCACTATCCATTCAGAGGGAACTGCTGTGAGGCAGAGAAAGGCTTAGATTAGTAAACATGGGAGTGCTCAAACAAGGTTGTTTCATTCATATGCAAACCCAGACCTCAAGGACTACTGCAGTATGAGTCTGAGTTGATCCAGCTATGGATAGAGGAACAAATTGCCAAGTTGAAACTTATGGGCAAACAGATTATTTACCATTCGGTAAATTCAGCTGAGAATTCAGAGGTCAAATCTCTCTCACAGTAACTGAAAATATGGCTGCTTTCACAGTGCAGTAGCTGGGAAGTAACATATCCCCTTTTCCAGTGAGGGAGAACCTATCTCAAGCTACCTTGCTTCTACTGACAGATAGATGCGACCATACCCCCTTTTCCACCATGACAGGACACCTGATGGGGTATAAGCTGTTACCCTGCAATAGCTTATTCATATGTCTAGCCCAGTTATAAGCCTCTTCCCCAACCTCAGAATGGCTTCTGAGCCACAAGTTTTAATTAGAAAAAGTAGGCATTGTCCCATGCCTCTAACCTCTTACTTGCCTGTTGTACGCTCCAGTCACTACAACTTTCTGGAGGCAGCTTTGTTAGCTCTTAGTAGTCTGGACTTAATTGTCCACGGCACACACATTCTCCAGTTCCTTGTAGCACAACAGGTTGCTCAGACTGAGCCACAAATATGCAAGTCTCCTTACCTCGATTGTGCTGCAAGAGGACAATAGTGGGATTGACGATTGTGGTAGAGGGATAGGCAGAGGAAGACTTGTTGATTGAAGTGAAGGAGGTTGGATAGTCAGTGCCAGTGCCAGGCTGGGGCACTTCGTTTAGCACAGGACCTGGGTCCTGAAAAGGAGAGCAACACATTATTAGCAGCATACAGAAGGCTGCTACACTGGGAAAATCTGGGGGGGGGGGGAAGCAACCAACATTTTAAGCTGAATGAGAAGCATAATCACAGCAAATTTTAGTAAAAAAGGCATAAGCACGAATGTTACCCTGCTCCTTGTACGTACCCTGCTTGTTGTTAATGCAATTAGTTTGCTAAGGCAGTACTATAATTATTTGGTGTTGGGTTTCACAACTCCAACCCCAAAAGGAGGCACTAAATTCATCCAGCAGACTCCCTGGAGCAAAGAAAGGGTGCCAGAAATGAGCAAATCTGGTTGGGGGGAAGACACAGACATCTTTCCCCGGATATGTACATACACAAACATTTGTTTTAGAAGTATTCCTTTCATAGCAAGAAGTCAGACATGCAAAACTCATGCAATTCTGGAGTGAAACATTACTGCAGCTGGTTGGGTCCGAGGAATAAGGTTAGCACTATCACTGAGGAAATGGTGTGACACCTACCTGGTCAAAATAATGAAATACAAAAACACCAAAACTGATAGAGGGTAAAAAGTAGGACTCTAGCAAGGAAGATACTCAACATGGCTTTGCTGCTGCACAGATAGCAAGCTGCTCTTGCTCTCATAAAGCATCCAGCTCCATTGTTTGCTTATTTCAAACCCACCTCTGGTATCACCACAGCTCTGGCTGTTCTGTAGAAATACAGGCTGCGTCAGTAGGGACACTTTAAAAACTAGTTCATCTTTGAAAAATCTCAGTCTGGGGATACCAGGCTTTTGTTGGTAGTAAAGGGAAAAGACAAAGAAGGGACGATGACTAAGACTGTGTGTACCAGTTTAGGCTGAGATTTTTTTTAAAGCTTCTTAAGGAATTTGGACACACAATTACCGTTAATGGGGAATGAGCATCCAAATAAAGAGAGCATGGAACAGTGTACCAGATTTCTGCACCCCTGCTACTCCACTGTCACACTGAAATGCTGAAGGCCACTGATCTGTAAAATGGAGCTGAGCATTCAGGGGAATTTTCATCACTATTAAAAAACCCCTAAATATGCACAGAATATGGCTCCAGAAGAATCCCTGCTCCTGGCTTTTCTGGCCAAGTGCAACTCCATGGCCTTCATAACCACCAGCGTCAGGGGAAAGGACAGAGCATCAGGCAGTGGGCTGAACAGGGGCCAGAGTGAGGCCTAGCACCAGAGCTCAGAGATAAATCATGGTGAGAATTGGCCATAACCAGAACAAGCATCTACAGTCTCTCCAACCTAGAGGGGAAATAGGGAAGAACAATCCTGTTCTGCTGGATGGAGGTGATCTTGCTGCAAGCAGCATCTGATCAGGCTGTGGACATTTCATGAGGACAGAAAAGAATCAATGGTCTTCAGAAATAGATGTCCCTAAGAGAGAGACCCAGCCCCATTTTGCTATCTGTGATAATATTCCAAATAATGCAATTTGGGAAAAGGAGAAGCATGAGAGAGTTGGGTTTGAGCTTCACTTTGATAACTAAAATATAAAGAACTCCTCAAAGAAGAGGGATGTCAGATCAGGATAAGCTCAGCAACCCCAGCTAAGTCACCAAAGTGGGTGAACAAAGACCATTTAAATCATTGTGGAAAACAGCTCTGTGACTACATGCCTGAAGTGAGCATGCCCAAAAATGTTTCAAAACTCTCATCTCATGAAAATCAGGTACAACAAAATTTCCACTACTCCTCCTCTATGATTTGGATGCCTGCTGAATGTTTCTGGAGCTTGCAGATAGGCTCCATTTAAAAAAAAAAAAAAAAAAAAAAAAAAAAAAAAAAAGGAAAAAAAATACCCCAAACTTTCATTGGTCTCTGCAGTAAAAACCCACCAATTTCAACAGAAGCAGAAAGGCCAATGCCGAGAGCTTTAGAAAATATCATCCTTGGTTGTTTTTTTCTTTTTCCCCCCCACATGCTTGTTTGCTAGATCCCTGCAGAGTCAGAGGGAAGAGAAAGCATTATCATGAGAGGAGGGGGTTTCTGATGAACTTATTACTTGTCCTTACAAGCAACCATATTAAAAAAATAGTGGTTGTAAAACTTCCAGTACGAGGAGGGTCAGATACTTTTTGCCTCCTCTGCAACTTTAACAGAGAGCTACTTTTCCTCCTTGTCCTTGAGGACTTTTTAAAACAGGTGATGAGCTTAAAGAGAAACAAAACCTAATCCAAGAAGAACACAGTAAATTCCAAGCTAAAACTGTTGCGGATTGAATTCTTCAAAATTTTCTAAGACAAGCAATTCCAAATTGAAGAGACACTCTCCCCCTAATCTATCCCATAGCATCTACATGCTTGGAAGACTCTTAGCTCAGTAACTGATATTATTGCTTGTAGGTCATTGGATACTGGCAGCAATCTTACACTGATTTCAGCAGGGATTTGTGTAGAGACCATATGGTCTTGTGGCTCCAAGTGGAACAGAAAGCCAGCCCTAACCTTTAACTGGTCTACTGTTGGTGCTTTAAATGTTATTCAAACACAATTAAGGATGCTATTAAAAGAGCCCGAAGAGATCAGTTAGTTGCAGCTATTCTGTTTATACAGATTTCATTATTCTGAGCAAATCCTGTGAAGACTCTTAAGGTGTGCATCCCCTAGCAGAATGGGCACAAAGACAGACAGTCAAATGTTGTTTCAAGAAGTCAATAGAAATTTCAAAGCTGCACAAGGCAGGCAACACGCATGCACTAGCACAGGACATAAACAAGGTTTCAGTTGTCATGCTGCTGGCAGGGAGTGAGTCATCACTCCTCTCTCAAGTTTAGTATTGCAAGGAGAAAGTAATTTTAATCTGGGAATATAAATTTAGGAAAAGGGCGAGGAAGGTACTTGGCAAGCTTACTGTATGTGAGATGACTCCAGTGATTTCAGGCTTCAAGCCCCTGTGCAAAGCCCCCGTGACTGGAGGGACAAGTGAAGGTGGTGATGAGAAGAATGGCAGTTTCGGGTAAACAGAGGGTAATGTGCCAGATGCAGAGGGTGCTTGGTTATGGTGGGAACCCCTCTGGAGATGTGGGGGAATGAAATCATCTAGAGTCGGAAAAGTCAAGGGTGAGCCAGGAGAAACAGTCTCAGGGAATACGGAGCCTTGCCCGAAAGGAACCAGAGGCGGTGGTGGAGTGCTGGAGCTGCCTTCTTGCTGTCTGTCTGGATTAACCTGAAGGAGGGGGACTACTATAACCCCAGGCTGAGCTGTGGTGGTGGCAGTGGCATCCTGTAGGAAACAAGGTGTTGTTATGCAACGGGGGAGATTGGTACTTTAGTCTAACGCAGCCATATAGTGTCATGCAAGGATGCACCCAAAACGATATGAAGCCCAACAGATTTTCTTTCCTTAGGGAGACATAATTCTTCAGGCTTGCAGCCCTGGCCTCTATGAACACACAAAAATCTTACTTGCCCTCACCACCCCTCTTCCCCAGTTCTGTGCAGTGAGGCTAAACCAAACCACAGAACAGCTCTGCATTCACCATCACTTGAGAAGCACTAACCATCACCTTACAGAGTTTGCTTCGTTTACACCTCCCTAAAATAGAAAGATCCTCGCCATCCCAACCCAACCCCCTACAAACACCACACACGCACGAACACACAGATCAATGTTGGGGGGGCGCGCATAGGGTGTTACGTATTATCAAGTAGAAGACCACAAGACTCAGGTGGCACAAGGAGGGCTCAGAAATTAGGTAGGATGGGAATAAAGCATTAAGGGAACATTGTAATGAATTAAAGAACCGTTCACACGGCTGAAAGAAAACAAGGTTATGGAGAAAACATGTACCATGCTGCGTCCCATTGCCTTGTACGGTGGCTGTCGCTGCTGAGTAAGGTAAGGCTCTTTTCTCATCCTGTCCTCTGTGGCAGCTGTGCTCTGGGGCTCTAGCACTCTGTCCCTCACAGCTTGCGGAGGTGATGACTGAGTCCAGGAAGGTTGGCCCGCATCATAACTAACTGCGTCTTTACTGAGGACAATGTAAAAGTACGGCCTGGGAGGAATAGGAGGAGGAGGAGGAGCAGGAAGAGACTTTCCAGTATCTGTTACAGAGGAAACAATGTTGGTAGCTGGTGCCTGAGTGAGCTCAGCGCCCAAACTGGTGCTGGCTGCTGGGTCATGTGCAGTGCCAGTGGAATTTTCAGACGCGGCTGAGCAAGTGCTGTTAGATAAACAAGCTACATATAGTTTGGTGACCTTTTTATCTGCCTTCGTCTCATGACTGGAATTCATTCCAGCCTTACTACTGGGATCTGCCCTGTCAGGGTTACGTTGTATTGATGATGCATCCGATGAGGAGCGACCTCCCAAGAGTGGCTGCCCAGCATGCACCTCATCTTTGGGGCCTGAAGAGGGAGAGTGCCCTGCTGGCAAGCCTTTCTTCCCACTGGGGACAGCCCCGTAGGGGGTAGGTGATGAGAAATAACACCGTGCACTGGCACTTGGTGATGCACGTTGCGTATAAGGCTTGGGTGCATTCAGGTACACGCAGTCCATGATGGGCACTGGCAACAGGTTGGTCGCTTTAGTGTCAGTGCGAGGACGCCATGCAAAGCTTTCCTCTTTGGGAAGAGGAGGACGGGGAGGAGCAGGGGCCTGCCCAGGCAGAGTCAAGAAAGAAGAGAGGGAGAGAGGAAGCAACACCAAATGAAAGGAAAAAGGTAGGAAAAAATAAATAAATTTGAAGAATGAATTCGGTCATTAGACTTGGGTTAAGCAGGTTTTAATACAGCAAGAACAAAAAGCAAATACAGTATCTGGAAGGCCAGTGCAGAACTCACTCACACACATCATCTCACACGTTCTCTCTTTCTTAGCACTGCTCACTGCAGCAGGCAAACCCTACCCAGCTCTCAAGTCCTTGCCTGCGTGTTTCTCTCTCTGGGCTAAATAAATCTCAGTGCTGTATTGTTTTGAGAGGCCTGCACAGCAATACCCACCATGCCCCTGGGAAAGCCTGAGTCAAGATTTAACATCCTGCCTAACTAAACCCAGGCTCATGCCTGTGTAACTAAATACTTCCCAGCACCGGGGACATTTGAAGCACAAAGCCAAATTCAGAGCTCTAGGCCATCTCTGCTTCATGTTAAGTACACTGCCAAAAAATGAACATTGTGAAGTTTCACCAGTGCTAATGAAGCAGACCTCATGTGAGTACTACAGCCTGCCACAGCTGGCTAAGTAAAGAGTCAGCATTTCTTCCTTCTAAAAGCTAGCTCTTGAATTCTCTTCAGGATTTTTCAGTCCTGAAAATGATTTCAGGAAGACCAGAACAACTACAGTTTCTTGAGGAACTGAGTTCATAAGAATATGCCTCCAGAATCAAGATCACTGACAGAGAAATCCTGCTTCTAGTAAATAATAAAAAAAAGCTTTACTGTTTTTGGTACTTTGCAACATATAGGTTGCTAACTCCACAACTGCCTGCTGACTGCAACTCCAACTCCAATTACAGTGATTTTTTTCTAAAAGCCAAACTGTTTTGAAGTAAAATAACTCAGCAATAGAGAGGTTTCCTTTTATTTATTGCTTTGTTGCCAGTAGCTGAAAACTATAAACTACTGAAAGGAAGAGAACTGAAACACCCACCTAGTGAACAGTAGTTCCCTGCATTCTTGCAAATTAACCCTCTGGAGACTATGAAAGTAGGTTTTACCCACACCCTGTTTTCATATCTTTATAGGCAAAGGCTGGCTAAACTGCCGCTAAAATGGCCAAAACCAGAGAATGAAGATGCCTTTAAACAGCTTGCAACATTCAAATCTGAAAAAAATACCTCCTTTAAAATTCATCCACATATGACAGGTTGTGGCCAGCACCTCTTATTACACAGATATAGACCTAGAATAGCTTCATAAAATCACAGGTGCTGTCCCGAAATCTACTGTCCTTGTGCTGCCCCTCTTTCCCCCCCTTTTCTGATGTGTAAGGGAGTGAAGAAGTGCATTGGTAAGTGCTCCTTCTGAAAAGCTTCTGGTTCTGGAACAGGCTCACTCCTTTTGATTACTTAAGGACAGTAGTTTCAGTCTGGAGTCTTCAGAGTGCCACAATATTTCCCTAGGTTAGGTGAAGCCTCACTTTACCACTACGTAGTGTTATAAGGAAATACCAATTAATCGCCTGCAATTGCTGTTTTCCATTTTCTTCCATTTCACAGCTTAGTTTGGACTTCTATAAGAAGTACTATGTGCATCAGCGCTCTCTCTGTTCATCAACAAGATTAATGACTACAGGACAGCTCTAAGTATCAGGCAGTAAATGGGTCTCTCCTTCAGGGTGCCGCTCCTTCCCATGCCTTCATCTGAGTTGCGCCTTCTTCCACTTTCACTTACAATTTCAGGAACGGTGTCTGTCCTGTGGCATTGCTGTAGGTCCCTGATGATGAGAGCAGTCACCCTGACAGGGTACAAGGCTTTAAAGGGACTTTGTTTCAAACAAGAAAGTGGTTTCTAACGAAGGGTTTCCTTATCAGCTTTCAGACTGCTTCTGTGCAGACCAACCATCCAAAAGAAAAAGGATGAAATTACACTTCTCTTAAGACATTGACTTCAACAATTTACCTTCAGGTACAAATAACTTTTCCCTTGTTGGCCTGTATCAGTTACAGTGTTAAAAATTAAAGGCATTTCCCCAATATCTTGTTTTTTAATGTAGGGTGTAACTCTGCTTTCAGCTTGCAGCAACCTCTAGGAAACAGACCAACAAAAAGGCAAAACAGTAATAGATGACTACTTCACCTTTTTTCTCGCAAACAAAGAGCGTTGTCCTCCTCCTTCATCCACCAAGGAAACACTGTGGTGTGCCTGAATACACGAGCTCCCCAGCACTTGGCTGACATCAGTGTTGCCCCCATTTTAAAGGTAGGAAAAGCTGAGGCACAGCAACTTACCCAAGATTGCAGCAAAATTTGGAGGTCAACCCAGGACTCCTGACCATGAATCCAGTGCTTGAACCCAGATGATCACCCTCAGGGTCACAGAAGAAAGGCTTACCTGTGGCTTGTTGTCTGAGGAAAGGTTCGGACGCACACTCCTATAACCCTTGGCAGCCAGAGAAGATGGCTGGGCATCCCCATTGGCATCAGTGTTAGATGACGACCTCCAATCATCTACAAGAGGAAGCAAAACTCAGATTACAGAGGATTCCCTCCAGCTACAGAATGAGCGAAAGGAGGGGACTCTTTTCTTCCTTTTTTTTTTTTTTTCCCAGGCAACAAGAAATATTTCCAAGAAAGCAACAGAAGCAACAACATAGCAGCCAATGTTTGTACCTGTTTCTGGGTTTTCTGGCTCCAGACCTAAGCGTTTCACAGAAAGGAGGGATAGAAGCGGTGGGGGTGGAGGACAGGCATAAAGGAAAAGAAAGGGGAAAAAAAATAAACCATTACATTTACAGAAAACATGTACCAATTGAAGTTAAAGTGTCGAGCTACTTCATTTCACACATAAAATGCTTTCTGACAGGGCTGCCTAATTACCATAGAGACCAGCCCTAAACATGATGCCCTCCTTGTTTCTGACCTTTGTAAACACAAGGCAATTCATTCAGAGCAATGAAGAAACAATTGTTCATTGACATTCTTATTTCAGAGGCAAAAAGGCAGCCCAGCTAGCTACTTTCTAAAGCTGCAGCTTGACATCCCAATTACTGGAAATGTCGGGACCCCGTATTCAGCCATGATACGGCTATGAAGACATATCTATCCCTTATTAACATCACTATATATGATTAACTGAGATAAAGGACTGCCAACAAATGGTTCAGGTTTTGTAGACTAAGTGCATGCGCATGAAGGGAGTTATAAAATATGATGTCACTTTACTACCCAGTCCCTGCAGCTAGGTGCATTGGTCTCATCACCTATTTACTCACCTCCCACTGGACACCTCCCCACCCCTCTACCCATTTTGCTGTTTAAGTTACATGCAAAAAGCTCTTCCAGCTCCAAAGTACATTTCATAAAGCAACTGAGAGAGTAAGAAAAGGAAGTATTAATGAGCTGATTTCCATAGTAATGGGCTCATTGCCATTCAGGCTGCTGGAAATTTATGAAGCCATCAACAGAAAGGAGAGAGGCAATGGTGGGGGGTAGGAGTGAAGAAACACAGAATGGCAAGCATGAAAAGAGGGTAGGTCACGGGTGGAGCAGAATGGGAGGAGAAGACAGAGCAGAAAGTAGCACATTGGGGCTGGAATTAATGAAATTGCCCTTTGTCCAACAATACAGTCAGAAACGATATATGCTTTGCTTTCAAGAGCAAGTTCGACCCCCTCCCCCCTTAACGGCATCTTCCCTTTGGGAGTTCATCCTCTCTGCCAGACCCACGACGCTGGCCAGGTTTGTTATGCTTTGCCTGTCTCCTACAATTAAGTAATTACATGTCTGCTATTAAAAGATGGCAGAACTCTGTGACAACATTGTCTGTCTGGGACGCTGTCCCCGCTCCCTTGACAACCCAAGTGAATGCTATGGTGGCAGTAGCACCACTTGCCCTTTCTGTTCCACCTCACGCCTGGGATAAAAGGAGGTGACATGGGCCTTCCAGGAGAGAAAAAAAAAAAAAAAATAAAAGTCTGAGAGTTTTTGGCACTCCTGACAGCAGAAGGGAGCTGTAAACAAACTTAAGCCAATGAGTGAGGAGTCATGAAACCTGCACTAGGAGAGAACAGGAGTCAGTTTCCCTCCACTGGTCTGGTTCTTGCAAGAGGTTTCCAACTACGCTATGGGATTTTGGGCTTTAAATCGTAGCTTAAAAAAGTCACCCCAAGACCCCAGACTGAGCTCACTTGATCTTATTGTGAGTAACATATTCCAGTTAACCTTCCACCCACTTACTTTCAGGTTGCTCAACAACCTGAGGACATGGCGAAGTGATATTCTGATTCTCTTCGTAGGCTGGAGATGCCCGGAGGGTCACAGCTCCTTTTCCGCTGCAGACTTTAGTGGGATCCGTTTCTACAGGAAATGCACATACACAGTGGAGACACATTGAAACAGATGATACAAAGCTATCAGGAGCCATCAGAGCTCTACGGAGTAATTTTAGCACGGCTGCCTCTGGGTGAATCAATCTAGTAACGTTTATGGAGATGAAGATTAGCTCTGGATTTAAAGCATTGAGAAATCAAAGCAGTTTCATATTCATGTAACTGATGAATGTAGAAGTAAGTTCTGAGTCAGTGTAACAGAGCTGCAGAAAGGAGGAAAAATGGATGAGTGCTTGAACCAAATTTCACAGGTCCGTTTGCTTTATTTGGTCTGCTTTGTGTGGAGATATTGTACTAGCAAGGACATACTACCATTATACCTGTGGCTCTTCTATAGGGATGTCTCAGTGGTATAAAGCAATACAATTTGTGTGCTGAAGCCTTAAAAATGCCTTTTGTGCAGGATTGAAAGAGAAAAAAGAAGTCTTATGACCACTGGAGGATAAAATCTTGTAACTATGCTGAATATGATCTAAAGGCAGGGTACTGCAAGCCACCTCCTTGCCATCTCTCCCCGTTTCACGGCAGTGTTTCACCTTCTGACATAGGAACCCAAATCCCAAAAGCTAAAAGGAGTTTTAACATATACCTGTTCAGATCAGCCTGTGAGCCAGACATCAGATCATGCTAGCATCCTTTCTGACGCCCGATCCAGCACAACTTCTGTGCAGGCTTACCTTTGTGCACTTCAGTCCATGGATTTGTTTTTTTTTTCCCTCCTGTCATCCTATTAAGTAATAACAAACCAGTACTTCAAGGCTATCTTCCTCCCCTTACTTAAAATCCTTCCAGAGAGTTGTTTCCGCTAAGATACCTATAGAAACAATAAGCCTAAAGAGTCTCTTACTTATCCAAGCTACTTCCACAGGAAAACACATCACCTCCCTTTCTCATGCACTATTACTGATCCTGCAGCTGCCATCAGACTTCACTTTGACCTACCTAAACAGAGGTACTAGCCCTACCATGACACCGCGCAGGGAGCCTGAAGAGGTACTGAGCATATGCTGTGTTACACAAATGACAACACAATGATTTTTATTTTAATGGGGTGAGGATCATGCTATCTCTGCACAGGGAGGGATGCAGCTCCTCTCTAGGAACTGTTACTATAATGAAAGTTATGCCTTCAGACTGGGCAGAGGGAGCAAAGACTGCTTCTTATTGCCCTGACAACAGCCCACGTTTGCGCAGATCAATATTCCCTGGCTGATTTCAGTACGATAATGCCCCATTAAATCCACACCAGTACAGTGCCTAGAGACCGTGACAACACCTCAGCTAAGGTTGCAAAACACACAAACCACAGCCAAGGTGGCCGCGATATAGGGAAACATCAATAGTGCCAGATGGACAACAGCAGTAAGGGGAAAGACTCAACCAACGTCAAACACCTGGCTCACATCGAAAGCCCTCTACGCTGGAATCGCCGCAGTTCAAGCTTTTACGTGGGCTTCCAACGCTTTAGGGCTTTCACAAAAAGCATAGCTTCAGATCCACACTTAGGACTGGAGAAAGGATGGAATAAGTAGCGAATCAGAGGATACTTTCCTACAGTTCAGACTTTAGTTCCTTTAGGCAGCATTGAGGCAGCCTCTGTGAGGGGAAAGACTATCCACACAGAGATATCAAATGCTGCTTAATCCTTAAATATGCCATATTTGCACTCACACCACACAACTGATCATGCCTTAAGGTCACCCACATGCCTGGTGAAATAGAAGTTGACTTCTCTGACTGATTTTCGCATGATCCAGATAGGGTCAAGATTCCTTTTGCCCAGAGTCCAGTTCCAGCTATCGTTCCCATCTGCACAACATGCAGCCTGAGAACTCTACGGACCCACTTTCAAACCACAGGACAAAGGTTTAAGCTCTCGGACTCCAGTTTCAAGAGTGCTGTAACTCTGAGGCTTGGACACACTGTTGGGAGTCACCAGGCCTGATTTAGACATCCACAGAGAGTGCAGGGTAGCTGTTCTCCTATGCTCCTGCACCTAGATTCCCTTCACAGGCACTTAAGAGAAATGGAAACACTTAGTTCACCATGCCATAAATGTCTCCATCATATTGGAGAAGAATCAAATTTGGGAATCAAAACACTTTTTATTTTCATATAACATATTAAACCTGTATACTGAATCAAAACAATAAGAATCAGAAAAAATGTTCTGAACTCAACAAAATTAAAATGTTTTGAAAAGGTTTGAAAATAAAATAGTCAGACTATTTCAATTTGGGAGAGGAAGACAAATACCTAAGATGTTGAATTCCCTCACAATTTAAGTGAAGTGACAGAAAACAAAAAACTGAATCTCTCAGCAACAGAAATCCAGCAGATGGTAATAAACATATTAGCACTGTACTAGTCCAACAGAGGACGTGTGACATATTAGGAGAGACAAGCAGTATCAGCTAGACTAGTCTGACTGTCCAAATCCCGCAAAGTACAAAAATAATCTTGTACTTTTAGTGGGAAAACATGTGCTTGGGAAGGGGGTGACAGACAGCCTAACATCCTTATTTATCCATATAAAGATTCTGTAAAGTCAATGTATATACAGAAAAACAAAACCATCCCACCAACATTGAATGATGCTTGAACATGTAAAATACCATCTCTGACATCCATTTACTTTCATAAAGACTAAAGATAGGCAGGAAACATTCTCTGGTTCATCAGGAGTTTGGTTCAAAACAAGGCTGTAATAACAATATTATTCATAACCAAGCATTAGCAGAAGAGCTCACAATGATCCCAGATTCAAGCAGACACAATTATGTCTGCAGAGGAGCAGCATAATTGAGAACAGTGTATTATGCCATCAAGAGCTAACTTTATTACCTACTGATGAAATCTGCAGCTCTGGAAACAGTGAGAAGAGGACGAAGCTGAAAACTAGCCAAAGCGCGTGGGTGAAGCGGGGCAGGGGGGAGAGAGAGAAAGAATGATGGCCAACTAATGCATGGCGGGGGGGAGAAAGGAAGAAGATACCTGTAGGCAGCACTAGGTGAGGAGAACTTTTCACTTTCTTCACAGGGATTATTTTAACGGCAGAAATAGAGCGTGTACATAAAGGGACGTCAACAGCTGCAAACACAAAAGTGTAAATGGCACATCCAAAAAGGGAAGAACAGAGTTTGGGAAGCATGCCACAAAATTTTCTAATGTACTTGGAGACACAATAGCAGGAAATTTCAAATACAAAAGCAGTCCAGAGAGCAGTGATGCAACCGTTAAAAATATCCCTTCGTTCGCCCTCATTCAGGACGTGTCTGTTTTATGCAGCATACAGAACTGCTTACTGAATTGACTAACTGCTGACTGCCACTATGCTGCAGGCAAAAAGAATCTGGAAGCATTAGTTTTTAGAAGCCATCAAAAAATTTTAGTGTAATCATTTAGCTAAGATACACTACATGCAAAAATAAAAATGTTAAGTTAACATTAATATGGCTCAGTTAAAACAAAGTGAAAAAAACAGGATTGAAAAGTTGAGAGAGGAACATTAAAACTAGCCACATTACATGAATTCTGGATTTTATGGCACATTTTACAAGTTCAGCAACAGAAGGAAACAAAATGTGAAATAATCTTGAAAACAGTCCCATGTCAAAGGGTAGCATGAAAATACCCGTTTAAAAAAAAAAAAAATCCATCCATTTAAACAGTAAATTGAAGAGATTTCTACTGGACTCCATCAGCTAGCACACTAACTATACTAGATGTAGTGACATCGGGGAAAACCATACATCACACTGTGCAAAACTGTAGCAATTGTTACAAAACTGTCCAAAACAGTTGGTATTTTCTCTCTCAGTCTCTGTACTGCAGCTAATGTGGAAGTCTTAAAAAAAAAAAAAAAAAAAAAAAAAGAAAAAAGGGAGGGGAGCTGGTAAAAAAAGGCAAAGGCAAAACCACTCAGAGGTGAAGCTCAACAGGATCTGGCAAGATAAACATCTTGTAAATCATGGCTCTACCAGAATAACTTGAGTTGCACTTTTGATTTCTGCAGAGCCAGAATTTTCTCCTTTAAAACCTATTAGCTTTCTGCATGTATTAACTGAAAAATGCTAGATGCCTCCTCACATTCCATGCCATCTCTCAGGCCTGCAAGATCAGGAGTAAGAGGAACCACATTTCTAATACTTTACACACCGATACTGGGCCAGCTTGAGGGAGGCTTTGACATCAGGGTGGTGTGTACACCCCCTCTTGTGGCAGATCTTTCTGGTCCCTGGCAAAACTGGAAAGCACAGACTTCAACTTAGAAAAGGGCTCTCAAGCAAAAGGATGGGGGAAGAGCTTCACAGAATTTTTTCAAACCTCATAAAATCATTAATTTTTAATTTGATGGGATTGTTCTAAATTCTTTTTTTTTTTTTTTTATAAAAGAGAAACCCAAATCAAACCCTGTTCTCCATGCTCCTCCCTGAGCACCAGAGACCCTGCAAATACAATAGATCCCAAATCCAAACAGCCTGTGGTTTAGGAAACAATCCTAATTCTGTTTCGCTCTGTAACTGACTGAATCCATCCATCCATCCACAATGCAGTCAAAATACTAACCACTATAAGAAGACATAAAAGGAAAAGAAAGGAAATGAAACCAGTAGAAAACCAACCCATACAACCACATACTTTCACCCTGCCAAAACACACACCATCACTATACAATATTGAATGCTATAAAGGGCACTGCAAACCTGCTGATGTTAACATGAAGACTGGTTTGTTTAGGTAACTTTGGGTTTTAAATCGTTGTTGCTAATGACAGATTTTTTTTTTAATTACTTAAATGGTTAGTTCCTGCCCTTTAATCCTGGGCTCAAACCTTCACCTCCTACTGAAGTTAACAGGATTCACACATAGGCACCCACAAACCCATGGTGTCCAAACACACTAAGATACTGATTCACAGGTGCCCACAAGTACTACAAGTAGTGCACAGCTTTCCTCAAAACAGCACTAAAAATATACGAAGAGGCAAATCCAGCCTGCCACCTTTAAGAGACAAAGAACGCTTGTTCAGCTAAGAAATGCTGCTGCTGCTGGTATGGTGCAGCACAAGGCTTTTCTTGTATCAGTCGCCAAGCAAACTAAATTTGGAAACCCCTGCTGTAGTGAACGTCCGGGGAAATCAACCACATCACACAGCTGACATGCAGGGGGAGCTGCAGAGATGTCTCTGAAGCTCTTAACCCACCTTTTTCTTGTCCATTGCTGCTCAGACCATTGACAACAGTTTTTGCAACATCAATTTCTTCGTATTCTGTAAGATAAATGAAGAAGCAGATTACTTCTGGGTTAAAACCTCTGCAACTGAATTTAACCTCTGACTACGAGGGGATGCCATGGGTCAGGAACTAGGAAGTATTCCTACTATCTCAGGAGATGTTGCTTGGAGACACAAAACTCCCTTGGATGACACCCCTGTTTCTCCTTTCCCTCTGCCTACCTGGATTGTAGCCTCTTTTAAACAGGGACTGTCTCTGTATGTGCATATGGCATCCAGCTCAGTGACGAGATTTTCAAGAAAGATTTTTCAAGTCTGCAACATCCTCGGCTGACACGAATAAAACTGGCTCTTGTGAATTCAGAGAAACACAGAAGATAGTGCTAGAAAGGACCTCCAAGGGTCATCTAAAGCTATGTTCCTGACCCATGGCAGAAATAAATCTACCTCTGTCACTGCTGACCAATATTTGCCGACCGAGTTCTTACAAACTTCCAGCATCACCCTACAGCAACCTGTTCCAGTGCTTCACAACCTGGAAACCTATCAATGCTTAAGCCCAATTCCCAAATTCATCGTTTTTAGACCCCGATTAGTCTCCTACCTTTCCTCTGGACTCTGTCCAAATGGTTGACATTTTTCTCAAAATGTGGTGCTACAAACTGGACACAATAGTCCAGCTGAGACTTAATAAGGTGCTAAAATCAAGTGGGAATATTATTCCACAGGTCCTACATACGGCACTTCAGTATGGCATCTGCTTTGTTTTTCACTCTGATTTAGCCTGTTACCCAGACAAGCCGAAAAGTTTTCCTCTTCCCAACCAGCCCCCATTTCCTGGTCCCTCATTTTTCTTTGAACAGCTGACTTTTTCCTATCCAGATGTCAAACTTTGCATTCACCCCTACTAAAACACATGAAATTCTTTCAGATAATTTTTTCAGGTAATCGATAATTTTGAATTCTTGTATTCCAAAGTGAAAGAAGCTAAAGTGACCTACTCCAGCTCAAGATGCTTCTAGTCATTTTCGAGCATTATGGGCCAAATTGAAACCACAAAGACAAAGCCAGGACGCTTTTTACAACGAAGCCATTTCACTGTTGCTTTAACAGTCAGATTCCCTGAGCTTTCAAGGGCTTTGACTCTTTTCTGGAAGGCAGAAGAAGAGTCCAAAAAAAAAAAAAAAAAAAAAAAAAAAAAAAAAAAAAAATTACAAAAAAAAAAAAAAAGAAGAGTAATTGCATCAGAAACAGACAGGAATATTTCTTCTAATAAAAAGGAATGCCAATGAGGGCAAGTGGAAAACAACACAGACTTACCAGAGCTCATTGTGGCGGAGGGACTTGCCTTTTTCACGTCTGGATTTTGTTTATCTCTGTTTAAAGTGAAAGGCAGAATGGTTACGCTATATTTCATGTCTGCCCAGACAGCACTGGACATGATGCTGAACATTCATCAAGAAAGTCAAGGTAATAGTCACGGTTTGTTCAAAAAATTTAGTTTCAAAACCCAAATGGATTTATGTAAACCACCAGTTACATTTTTTGCTGATAATTATCAGAAATTAAAGAGTATTTCCACCCAATATAGGTACTACTTTCAGACTTTAAGACTAACCCTCAACATTAAATCATAAGATACTGGTTAAAGCCCAAGAGTCCACATACAGCAAAGTGCAAATCTGGCTAGCTTCTAATATATAAAATGTACATCACCTTTAAGAAAAAATAAAAAATACCTCAGTGAGACTAAAAGCTTTAAGCTAAAACCCTCAACTTAGACCACTGCCGGATTTCAAGGCGACCTGTTGCTCAGATCAAAGTCAGTCTCTCCTTTGAAAGATGTTACAATACAGAAGAGATATATTTGTTGAAACGCATATTAACTTCCACACCAATCATTTCCAGTCCTGCAGTGTTGCTGATATTTTCAGGATCAGACTCCAGTAAGTGAAACTTTAAAATTAGAAGCTTTAATCCTCCTGGGACCAAAGGCAGTGAAATTACCAACCCAAGAGAAAAACTACCAGATGGGGACCGGAGGAGAAAAAAGTCAGTTTTCATGGTCATGACAGTCTATGGAGGACAACTGTGGGGCCTATTCATACCCAGTGCCCACTCCTGTGGGGACCTGACACCTGCAGCGAACGAACAGGTTTCAATGTCACACCACAGATGTTCGTTTGAATAGTCAAAGAGCGGCATTTCTACAAAACAAGCCCGTGTTTGCCAAGATCTCTCAACTCTCTGAAGGTCCTAGGCTGAATTATAAACCCTTCAATTTTGTGTTCCAATCTTTTTTCCCCCCTCAAAAGTTAGTGCTAAAGAGAGTGAGATAAAGTGTAACTCCAGCCAATTAATGGCTTCCATGACACAAATAGAAATAGGTATCTGAAGCTGCGAAATCATGCATAAACAAAGACCCTAATCTGTGAAGTATAGGGAAAAATTGGCTCAGAGAAACAAGAAACTGAAGAGAGCTGGAGATACTTGTTTTCCTGTTACATGAACTGGAGGCAGCAGTGGAACATTGTAAGAGGTGGAAACCTTCAGGGAATTGAATTTGCTCTCTTGCCTCAGGCATCCCCATTCTTAACTAGCATTTGTTTCATACCAGCCAGAATATAATGAGCATGTTCAACAGATACTCAAAAGGAAAGAAAAGAAAATTCAACAAGCAAATATAGTACAGCAGCAGCCTGTAAAACCAGCCAATATCTGGGCTCTCCAGCATACCCCCTAGCAATAGCTGCCAACACTTAATTATTTAAATATTTTCTTCATTAAAATATCCACATAAGATCTACATCATGAGTTCGTGGAGGCTCAGCAGGATGCAGCCTAACTCCAAGCTGATCCCAGTAAAACACAATGTGAAGTGGAGGGCGCAGTCTAAAATGGGTCAACAAAAATCCTGAGCCCAACTTAAAGGTCTGCTGCCTGACTTGGCCTGCCTGTACAGTATCTGCTTTTTCTTTCTACCATTTCATACTACCAGTAAGTACCCTGAAATTCTAATGGTTGACACAGCCTGAAAATTTAGGCAAATGTACTTAATAATAATGGTCTTTCTGATCTCCGTATGCTTCTGTTACAGCAAGATGCCTTAGTTCAAGCAAAGCAGAAAGAAACAGGTTAAAATTATAGGCTATCCAGGCTAAGGAGGTTTGTAGCAATATCACACTCTTCTACATATGGAAAACTGTTATGAGTTAAGCTCACTGGATAAATTCAAGTCCCTCCATAGGGCAGGGAGAAAACTACAAGAAGGGGCAGTATTGCAGTACGTCTCAACTCAGCTTTAGGATTAAAGCCATTCTGAAGCTGAGGAGGTTGCTGGTACCCAGAAGTTTTGACTCGGCACTGGCCCTCTCCATGGGCTTCATGCAAGTCAACAGAAAGTTTCTTCCACTCCAAGCATCCCCAAGAAGTTGCATGCCTTCCTCTGGTATACAAGATAAAACAGGCGGGGGGTGGGGGGAAGATCTAGTGTATTACCTTTTCAGGAGAGGAAAGAGTAAATACTAGCTCACATGCCTGGGCAAAGGCAGCATCCACTGCTGCTGCAATCCCAGAGCAACACAGGCCCCCTTCCACAATGGCAGTATCCGAGCAATTAAACTTGTGACCCCAAGCTTTATACTTTTTAAACTGTCTCATCTCTGTTTAGAAACAGTGACATCACAACTGCCATAAAATTCTGATTTCAGTGATGTCTTTTTGACTCAAGAGCCTTGACATTGCTTACAGTGTGAAGCACTGGCTTTCATTGCATTAAGAAAAGCATTAAGGAAAGAATTCACACCAAGAAAAGCACAATTATTTGGCCTTAAAAGAACAAATTACTTTTCACAAGAAATGATTTGAGGTTAAAAATAAAGTGATAATTAAAGAAGTAAGTTTGCTAAAATTAAATGGAGGAGGTGTACAAACTCATTAGAGCTAGATCTAGAAAAGCGGCTTTTCCACATATCCCCACACTTACTAGCAATTATGGAATTCAATTAAAATAAAAAGCATTCAGTGTTCATTTACTGTGAAACTAATCAGCATTATTCAAGCACTCAAATGAACACTTACTTAATGCAGGTTCCCATACACAGAACGGATTCAGTGTGCTTGGGATGAGCACAACCAATCCTGAGCACTGTAACTCCAGAAACTCCATCTAAAAGTTGATTTTGATTAGTTGAGGATCTGCATACAGATTTGCTGCGTACAGGTAGAAATAACTGTTGTTTAGATTGAGGAAATTATGGTGCACATTTGGAGCTGCAAACATGTTTCAGTGCCTTTTTACATCAGGGCTACAGAGTCATTCTACCTGTCTCCCATACGCTTAACCCAAACCACATACTGAAGTCCTATTAGGACTATCTTAGCCTTAAGGCTGCTCTTGGGACCAGATACACGGTCCAGCCAGGTAGCACATTTGGCTCCACAGCCCCAATATAGCAAAGCGTTGCCCTCTGTAACTGGTGGGAAGGTACATGCTGTAAGTCAGTGTGCCGTGAGTGTCTGAATGGTACAGACGTAGACAGAGCAGTCCCTGCCAGGTTGGCCAGACAGGCTGGCTGTGGGAGCAGGTGAACCTAGAAACATTTGCTGCTCCCAGTTCCCCTCAAGAACATCCTGTAGACACAGCCAAGCCGTTCCTGGAGACATACATGCAAGTATGCACAGCAACGCTTCAGAAGGGAGCCTTTCAAAAGGAACCAAAAATTAAACTCCCTGGTGTCAGTATTAAAAACAGAGAAACTGGTACTGCCAGATCAGGCAAAACAAAACAAATTAAAAAACAAACAAACAAACAAACAAAAAACTCCAAAACCTCCCAGTGTCTCCCTCCAGCTCCCTGCTCTAACCAGCTAACCAGTGTCTCCTTGCCAGACTGGAATTTATGCCTTTCCTGAAATGTGACAGACAGAGCAACAAAGGCTTCAAAGCTGCAGACATTCAAAACACAATGAAAGGTAATGAATTCCTCAGGGCATAAGCCAGCAGCTGTAACCCTGAACATGCCAGTGTCCCTATGTAACATCCACCAGCTCCTTGCCAGTTCGGTCACACCTCTAGACGGATGTTTAACGCTTCCTTCCTCCCTTTCACCCCCAGCACATTTCTTCCAAGGCTGCAGCTCCTTCCCTACTTGGTGTGGAAAAGAGAGCAGTGCATTTAGAAGCCTATTTAGGAAGAATGCAGATAAGTGGCAACTACTTCTGCACAGCACATCTCTGGATTATCTCACATGCTCTAAACATTCGAGTACTCCCCCTACAATGGCAGGGGGTAACAAACAGCTCATTAATAGTTCCGAGTAAGGACACACGCTCTTAAGTCACTGGTATCTCAGCTAAGAGTCACAGGCGGTGGTTATTTTTGGTGGTCTGATGTGCATGGCGTGGGGAAAAGTCATTTCCTTTTGTTTCTTCTTTTGTTATTATTGACAGCTCTGATGACTTGCATAGGATTTTAAAACAATTGCTAAACATGAGATGAGCATTCAAAACTTATTGGGCAGGTCCCTTATATTCCTGAGATTTGGACTCCTGCTTTATTTTCTCAGTTCCGAGTTTTTTTACGTTTCAACATTTTCTCTCCATATACAAGAGCTCTGTACATATACAAGTGTTTTGTGGCTGCACTTAAATGAAAAATCAAGTTCTTATTTATATTAGTATAATCTAGGAGTTGAGACTTTTAGAAAAATGGTAAGCTTTCAGACTTAAGGGATGATCAGCAATCACAAAACTTACTTTTCACCTGGTCAGGTCTCACACACCACTAACAGCACTCATTTTTTTATCCCCTGGCTCAGACCCTTTCTCACATTGCCACCAGTGTCCCCGACCCAGATGCTCTGTTCAAGCAGCCATGCCAGCAATGTGGAGTCCCAAATCTGGAAAGTGGGCAAAGGGCTGCACTGCAGCCAGTGCCTCCTACCAGGAGGTTCCTCTGCTTAAAGGAACTGGCTAGAAAGCACATCCCTTCCGTACTTCTCACTTTGTATCACATAAAATGTGGCAGGAAAAAATAACTAGAATACAGGAGGCAGCTCCAGGTTAACCCAGGCAATCAGCTCTCTCTCCAAGTATCATCATTCTCTTATCCTGAAATACAGAGAGAAATATATTGCCTGTCATTTTTATTTTAAGGGTTAAAGAACATCCTGTCATTCCTTCAGAAGACATTATGCTCCTAAGAATAAATGTCATGAAAAGACTATGAATAAGCAAGCAGCGCACACAGAAGAACCATACCAATTCTGTACAAGACAACAGCCTTCCCACACTCTTCAGCGAGTGTTAAGACTGCAGAGAGAGAGAGAGCAGTGAAAGCTCACTAAATGAA